CAGTTCTTTTGCGTCGGAATCTTTTCATTCTGAGATTGATGTCGTCGATTCTAGCGCCGGTGATTTGTGTCTCGTAGTAAATTGTGCATTTTGAATTAGGAATAACATTTGTCAATGTTTCGACTGCTTTCAACGCGGTGTAATTTAACTGTAAACAGAATACGTTGTGTTTTTGCGAATGTTATCATTTCAACGTGTTTATTACTAACAATTTTGAAATAAGGTGAGCATTTGTAATTTTGGTTATAACTTTGATAAAGTTTCATACCATCTCTTCTTAGAATTGGAATCGAGTTGCTCACACCGTTAAAATGAATTATCTCACCGTTATATACAGCTAAAACAACTTTCCCATCCTCGCACGTGTACGAAAGCACTTTTAGTCTCAAATTGCAGCGTTAACCTGTAATAAGTCTTTCATTCATGGCAGAAATTGTCAAAATTAAAGGAAGGCACCGCACGGCCGCGTAATTACAATGCCTGCGTCTAATCCTGAAGACTTTTAATTGAAGTGCACAGTTTACTGGACACGTCAGCTAGAAAGTTATAATTAACGGGTGGGCAGTTCACCCCGAGATAATTTAGGGTTTGACAGGAGCGCAGGAAAGGCTGCCGGGCAAAAATGACCACCCCCCCCGCTGGATGGGTTAAAGAAATTAATTTCAGCATCAGCGCGCAGCCGGTAGGGAAATTATAAAGGAATTTGCTAAGAGTTTATTATGGCGCGCTTGGTAATGAATATTTTTGACAAAAAATGTGGCAGACATGAAAAAAACATCATTATGTCTGTATTAAAATCCATATATGTATCTGTATTAAGTATCTAAATATCTAAATGATAACATTATTGTAATTATTAGCCTCTATAAATACCGGTAATTAACGATTTGTTATAAAATTAAAACCTCCTCTAAGTCTTCACAACTCGATTTTCGAAGCCCTTGTAATCCTATTTTTGGCATGACAAAGAGTTTACTCATAATTCAATTAAAATTTGTTTGCGACCTCTCATTTATTAACAATTTCTTAGGTAACCAGTTTAACTCCAAAGTTAATTGATTAATATTCCATCATTCCGGCAAACTGAGGGCAAACATGTTTAATTCAAACTCAACTTAGTACAAACACTGGCTCGAATTTATTGCTGGTCAAATCAAATCAAATCAAATCAAATATATTTATTTTGCGAACATGGGTAAATGTAGGTATTACAAGTATTTTAGTATCTCCATCTTCCACCTTTTGGCATGCAAAATTATAAATCAAACTTATCAAATTTCATTTACATAAAAAATAATTTTCACTTAAATAATGTCAGATCAATCGCAGTCATATTATAATTGAATAAACATTCTACATTACATTTAAACATAAAATAATAATAAAAAAANCAAAGGTCAAACAAGGTCACGCCGCCGACGCCGCCGCCGCCGAGGTCAAAAAGTCGGCGCGCCGCCGCCGGCCAATTTTATATCGGCGCCCACCTCTACTACAAGGTACTTCCCGTGAACTCAGAATCTTGAAATCGGCACGGCACGAAGCAACGTTATATAGTACAGATAAAGGAAAAATTGCGAAAATGATAAATTTGAAGTTACATAAAATATTAAAATATTATTTTTGCTTACATGACATAAAATATTTTTTTAATAATTATAAACTTACTACCTACCCTTTTTCACATGAACGCGTAGAGATATTAAAGTTGAAATTCATATCAAACACTTCTTAAATCTAATTGCCTCTAAACAGTGAAAATCAATGTGATAGCTACAATTCACACCTTTTTCAGTCACCATTTACAGATTTGGTTCAAATTTAAGACATACTTAGTTATTTTCAATCAGATATTTTCTGAATGATGACTATAAAATGTTGTAAATAAATAACTTTAATAAAAGAACTTTTACAAGGTACTGGCCTACTATTTTAGTTATATAATAAAATAAAAAATATTCACTATGTTGACTCTCTCGAAATTACCATAACTATGATTGTTCTAAACTGAACGGTTTGCGCGAGATTCACTTCCAAAGTATTAAAATGTGTCCCCTCTCTGTAAGTTCCAAAATAAGATAATATTAAAACTAAAAAAAATATATGATGTGCATTACGCATTACCATGCAATTGATTTGAACGATATCTAGTAAGTAATTTGATTTAATACGTCATACCTAAATTGTAAACCGCTACGTTTGTACGGCGGAACCCTCAGTGTGCGAGTCCGACTCGCACTTGGCCGGTTTTTTTAATCGTAAAGCGGACACATAACATCACCAGTTCATCATATTTTCAGCAAACTGTAAAACTAACTCAGTTTCAGGACTAGAATAACAAAAAGTATGTCTTGAAATTACTAGTTTCCAGTCCACTACCCGTAGACTTGCATGCTTTTATAAAGTGTTTCTGCCACGGAAATGTCAGGAAATTCTATTTGCTGGTACCAGGAAAATATCCGGGGCGTAAGTGCACGTCAAAGATCCGGATTGAATCTGTCGCTCTACCAATTTTTGAACGGGGCGGATGCTTTTACCCGGGTCTTTGTGTAGAGGCGTGCGCCCGGACGCATCCTTCCGGCGCACATTTTTCTGATTTCCTTTACTTTCCACAGTATTTTATTAGTCTAATATTTATTACAATATACTTACACCGCTAAATTTTTATCACCGAATTTGGGTATATGAGTTATTGATACTGACTGATCCTATTTATGCAAAAAAAAAGTTAAATAAAGTTACTCAAAATTTCATCCCAAAATTGGTAATTTATGGACACACGCATCGCTAGCACTATTTACGTAAGATAATGTAACATTTATCAGAACTCAAAATTACTTGAAGTTAGCTAAGTAAGTAGTAATTAACACTGGAAGCGTGGTCGAGGCGTGTGTGAGACAGACAGATCGGGCAATGTGCGAGCGCATACGACTACTCTAGCGAGCAGCGGAGTGCACCAGCTGTGACACGTAAAATACGGACTAAAGAATCTATCTATATGTTACGGCTAAAGATAGTTGTGAACATAAACTTAAGATTAGCCGGCTAAACATAAGTTTATCTTCGAGAAGCAGCTAAAGCTCGATAACATGTTAGTTTGCGTCGTGATATTCCATCTTTAGCCGGCTAATGTGCACATTAGCCAAAACGAAACGGCTAAAAATGTATTCGATGGGCGCGCCAGGCCCNAGTCTCGCAACTCAGTTGTTCTACGGTAAAAAGTTGTGAGATCCATGTAATACCAAGTCCAGGCCAGGAAATCTTTAACGTTTTACATAAATATATTGACTTGGCCATCGCATGAAAACACGTGTAAATTAAATTATTTAGTGCGATGGCCAAGTCAATAATTTATGTAAAACGTTAAAGATTTCCTGGCCTGGACTTGGTATTACATGGATCTCACAACTTTTTACCGTAGAACAACTGAGTTGCGAGACTTGGTTTTTTTGACAAGTATTGTTTTTGATGGGATTGTGTTTGCGAGACTCAATCTTCTGACTTGCATAGCGATTGGTCTCTTCGCAAAGCAAGTCAATAAACTCCACGTCAAACATCTTGTCAAATATGGCAATTGGACTAGAGTTTTCTGTCACCTCAAAAGTCGGTCCAGGTGTCCCAGTAAATTGTTCTCGTCGACTTAGCGCATCAAAATGGATAGAACTAGGTTTTAACGCCATCTATGATTCTTTCATAAGATTATAGTATACTACAGCTGTGGCACAGATAAGTTACCGTTTCCGAACGCTTCGAGTTTGTGACACAGTAGTGCCACTGGACAGTTTACCGTAAAAAAAAATAATGGCATAGGTAGGTACTTAATCATATCTATGACTGTACATAATACCCGCGGACAGACAAGTGGCAAAGCTGGGAATCGAACCCTAAAAAGTATACTCTGTTACCGACTTTAACCTTGGTTCTTTTTAGGGTTCCGTATTGTGTATTGATGAAGTTTGATTTTGAATTTCCTTGTTATTAATGTTTGGCAATCATGTAATTAATACGAAATGTTATGAGTTTGCATGATTTTATTAAAAACCTGTAAATATTGGACACTACTCAGTAAACATAAGTTACAAAATATTTAACATAACTATATCACTCACTTGATAGTGTGATACACTATCACAGTTTAAAAATCATAAATAACTGGAAAAAATCGAACTGCCTGAGGCGGGAATTGAACCCACGACCTTCCGCTTGACGGGCGACTGCTCTTCCATCTGAGCTACTTCGGCTAAGAACTCATGGCTCGATTTTCACCCGCGCCCGCGTCGGTTGCGGGCAGCTTCTGTAGAATGCAGATACTTATGTAATAATTAACTTTTTAAAAAAATAAAACCGACTTCAAATGCGTGAACACAAAAAAAACTAAAAATTGAAAATATTGCGTATAAAAAAGTTCATCCCCAATTTTCCACCCTTGGGGGTGAAATATTTTCTTCAAATTCGCATGAAACCACCCTTTTGATAATACCTATTCAACAAAAAAATAATCGTTCAAATTGATTTATAATCGGCGGAGATATTGCGTATAAAAAAGTTCATCCCCAATTTTCCACCCTTGGGGGTTGTTTTTTCTATTATTAAATTTAAATGGGACCACCCTTGAGGTATTACCTATACGCCGAAAAAAAAATTGTTCAAATCGGTTCATAATTGGCGGAGTTATCGCGTAACAAACATAGAAAAAAAAAAAACATACGGGTTGAATTGAGAACCTCCTCCTTTTTTGAAGTCGGTTGAAAAGTAATGCACAACTCACGACGCGGTTTTAGCCCGCGCGTAAACCGCGTTAGGCACTGGATGAGCTCGTTGAAATTTTTATGTGTAATAGGAATGCTGTTATGATTGAGATGGAACTCTTAACGTTAAAAATTAAATAACTATCACAGTTACTTGGGTTATACATACAAAATACATATTATTATGTGAAACACACAATACACCAGTAAAAACTAAAACACATATAGAGTAAGTGCTAAAGTGGCATTATTTAATCCGTTACAGCTCAGGAGCCATGGCCGGACAACGTCAAGCTGTTCCAGCCGTACGAAGTGGAGCAGATACTGCTGCCGGATAACGCCAGCTGTCTAGCAGTGCAGGCTTTTTTGAAGGTATATAACATAATTATTTTATTTATTTTTTTAGTTAAATAACATTACATATTTGTAAGCTACTTAAAAAGCCCTCTATTTTGATACCCCACTCGATTCGGTTTAGAGAATTTTTTTTTAAAACATGGCGCCTAAAATCCGTCATTTTGATTTTTTTAAATTTGAATATAGCCAGTGTCACTCTCACGATTAAGACGAATCTAACGACACCTCTCAGAAAGTTTGACAGCGTATGCTTTTTTAGGATAGCTGCCAAAGCCACGAATACCCAAACTTCACAATTCACCAACATTATATCTTACATAGGAAGCATACGCTGACAAACTTGCAGCTTTTATAAAATGACGTAGGTCTGGCGTTTACTAGCTCTTAGTCTATAACTTCTTTAAACAATTATCCTTTTAATCCCCAGATGTGCAACCTCCCCTTCGAGGTGGAAATGCGTTGGAACGCCGAATTCATGTCGCCATCCGGCCGCGTACCTTTCATCAAATGCGGCGCCTTCGTAGTGTCTGAACTGGAACCAGTGGTACAGTTCGCGGCTAATAAAGGTAAATAAAGATTTTATTTCATACTATAGTCTGGTCTGCGAGCACGTAGAATTTTGTCCAATGACCCCAAGCAACCTATCCTACCTAACGTGCTCACAGATCGGGCTTTAGCTTTTGCCCGCGGCATCACCCGCGTGAAATTTCGTTCATAAATTATAACCTATATGTTAATGTGGGTTATAAACAATAATACTGTAGTTTCATCAAAATCCGTTCAGTAGTTTTTGCGTGAAAGAGTAACAAACGTCTATACATCCAAACATCCAGACATCCAAACTTTCGCATTTATAATATTAGTAGGAAGTAGGATAGCCTATATGTTATTCTGAGTTCTAAACAATAATACTGTAAAGTTTCATCAAAATCTGTTCAGTAGTTTTTGCGTGAAAGAGTAACAAACATCCAGACATCCAAACATCCAGACTATTTCCAGACATCCAAACTATCGCATTTATAATATTAAGTAGGATTAATAGGACTAGTGGCCGCCTGCTACTTCGTACGCGTAGACCCCGTTTTACCCCCTTAGGGGTGGACTTTCATAAAATCCGTTCTTAGTGAGCACCTACGCTCTAAAAGGAACCCCCATGCAAAATTTGAGACTCCTTGCACTTGTAGTTTCTGAGATTTTGTGATTAGTTCAATAAATCTATAAAAGCGAAAGGTCACTGATTGACTGACTCACTCATCACGAAATCTCAGAAACTACAAGTGCTAGGAGTCGCAAATTTTGCATGGGGGTTCCTTTTAGAACGTAGGTGCTCACTAAGACGGGATTTTGCAAAATTCATCCCCTAAGGGAGTAAAACGGGATCCACGCGTACGAAGTCGCGGGCGGCCGCTAGTTGTATATTATTTAAATTGTGTGAAACTTATGTTTGAACCAAATAAACTATTTTTCTTTCTTTCTTTCTTTCTTTAGGCGTGTCGCTGTGCGCTCGACTACCGGCTGAGGAGAAAGCAGAGATGAGGGCGTATATGAGCTTGATTACCAATGTGCTGGTGAACGCTGAGGTGAGTCTTATCTTGAAGGCTGTACAGTCAATGAATAGCACATCAGACTTAAGTATTTGATTGAGAAATCGCATTTATTGCAACGAAGATGCCACAATGTTCTAGCTTATTTTTTTACATTATAATGTAAAAATCACACACACCATAATATTAATCAGAGGTCAGAGTTTTATTGAATGTTTATACAATGAATATTTTTTCTACAGCTCTACATATCCTGGCTTGACGATGAAACGTTCAACGCCGTCACAAAAGTGCGCAACTCCTCAGTGTACCCGTGGCCTCTAGGCTGGATCCAGACGCGCGCCAAACGCAACGCTGTGGCGAAGCGGCTGAAAGCGCTGCATTGGCACGATAAGAGCTTGGAGCAGGTTTTGGCTGACGTAAGTAGTTTAATAAGGACTTTATTTTGTAGAATACACGATTCATAACGAACCAGTGGCCTCTCAGCTAGTAGACTAGTCGCAGGTGAAACGCAACGCTGTGGTGAAGCGGCTGAAAGCGCTGCATTGGCACGATAAGAGCTTGGAGCAGGTTTTGGCTGACGTAAGTAGTTTAATAAGGACTTTATTTTGTAGAATACACGATTCATAATGAACCAGTGGCCTCTCAGCTAGTAGACTAGTCGCAGGTGAAACGCAACGCTGTGGCGAAGCGGCTGAAGGCGCTGCATTGGCACGATAAGAGCTTGGAGCAGGTTTTGGCTGATGTAAGTAGTCAAATATGGACTTTATTTTGTAGAATACACGATTCATAATGAAACAGTGTAAGTACTTTCAGCTAAAAATAGACTAGTCGCGGGTGAAACGCAACGTTGTGGCGATGCGACTGAAAGAGTTACATTGGCATGATAAGAGTTTAGAACAGGTTTTGGCTGACGTAAGTACTATTCCCACCTCTCGTTCCCTCCGCTGCAACTCCTGTGTAGCCAGGATCTACAGCTTGACCGCCAACAACCCAACCAGTGAAGGCCAAGCTTGTCCCGGGGGAAAATTAAACTGTCATTGGACCCGTAATGAAATTAATCAGAAGAACGAAAACTTGAATTTTTTTTCATCATCATCATCATCATCATCATTTCAGCCATAGGACGTCCACTGCTGAACATAGGCCTCCCCCAATGCTTTCCATGTTGATCGATTAGTAGCGGCCTGCGTCCAGCGCTTCCCTGCTACCTTTACGATGTCGATCAATTTTTTTTACCAATGGTAAAACACTGGTACACTGGTTTTTAAGTGTTCAGCCAAAGGATGTCGCCCACTGCTGGACAAAGGCCTTCCCAAGGATTAGATTAGATTTACGAGTATGTTTGAACTTCATTACAATAATTTACTGACTGCAAATTTTCTGATTTTCAGGTCGAGCAGTGCTGTAACTCGCTAAGTCAAAGGCTCGGCGAAAGGGACTACTTCTTCGGAACGTAAGTCAATATATTATTTATTTCTTTTTAATATTATTAGAACTGCCATTCTGCCTAATTAGGGTTACGACTCATGTTGTGTATGTCCTCGATAAGTTAAGTCAAGTTATACTACCAGTGCATCGTCAGTATTTTGGGGGTGCTTAAGAGAATGTCTAATACGGTATCTCTCCAAAATCTAATGGTTTTGCGTACATCATCGCTATTTTCCAAGTTCTAGAAGATAATTATGAAACCATGATGATGCTACTAATGGGAGGAAGTTTTGTGTGTTCATTTGTTTCTCTCCCAAGATTACCTTTTTTTTTCGGAGAAAAAATGCGTTGAATTGCACCCTGCGGGGACAGGATAGGTTATGTGGGGCTCACCAAGTCAGAAGGACAAGGCACACCCACTAAAAAGACCCCGGTGCTCCGTCATTCGCCTTATAGTCCAGTAGAATTAGCTTTTAAATCGGAAATAATTCCTACAAAAGATTTTATTGCTTTAATGGCTTCATTGGTTGCCCATTTAGACTCTCCTAAGTTTTCGACTTCGACGGAGTTGTGCTTAAGTGGTGGGGGCCCCCGAAAGGGGCGCTTTTTCGGTTTTCCAGTTATACCGCGTAAAGGACTTACCCTATCGAAAAGTGGTCTTCCTGATGGTTGAAGGGCATTTAATTCTGCATTAAATAAGACCAAATTCATATGTTTTGAACAAACCGTTCTCGTGCAAATGTTCGGCAAAGTAGAAAATATGTGTATAATTAAGGCTAGGATTTACCGCCTCGATGCCGTGCATTTGTTTACCTCAGCCCCCGCACACCTCACACTGACACTCGCGCGACGCGTTGACGCCACAGTGTAAAAACAAACCGTAAGTTGGATGACGGTTTACGTAATCTTCAAATAGTTAATAAATAAATAATAAAATTAAATATCCTTCGACATAATATTTTAACACTGCGCCTCTAGTCTCAAACTAAGCAAAGCTTGTACTATGGGATATGAAAATACTTAAATAACATAAATAAATAAATATTATGGTTAGAAACCGTGCATAGTGCAGTCCACACAGCTTATGACCGCAGTCTGTGGAGGAACACTATCTGTGGTCGCGATCCTCATCAGTGAGGGACCGAGGAAGAAGAAGAATGGTTAGAAAACACCCAGCCCGAAACAAATATTATTATAATGTTCATGCACACAAATGTTTGTCAATCAATAATGTCAAATGAAAGATGATAATATTAAGTCAAACAAATACTTTTTACCGACAAAAATAGTAAATGATCACAAAAATTTAAATTCCATTTTAATATGAAATACTAATGTTCTTTTACATTTTGCTATTCTATTTAAGCAAATGACTCTAAATTAATCATTGTAAACCCAGAAATAGTAAACAATCCTCAAAACAACTTGCCTAGAGGTCCTCGTCTGACCTTTTAGAATTTTTAACTCAGATTCAAGCAGTAAACTTCTAAAATAATTATTTATGGTATCAATTAAATAACTGTATCGCCATCTAGTTTTATAATTCAGCATGTTTAAAAATTTGTGAAACATCAGAATTGATGACTCGCCTTATATTCTTTCATCATCAAAAAGTACCTAAAATTATCATCTAATTGTAAATTATGGCAACTATTTCCTCATAATTATTTGAAAATATAAGGCAAAAATGTTTAAGTTTTACAAAACTATGAAGAGCAGATATCTCGAAAACCATACAAGATATTATCGAAAAACTTGACTGATAAAAGTAGTAAATTAAATGAGTTTTCATTTTGTTGCAATAGTCATATCGCTAGGACGCATAGTTATTTATTTAGACAGTTTCTGAGATATAAGCGAAAAACCCAATAATGGGACCTTCAAAGGCTGCGATCGAGAACTTTTGTCATTCACTTAAGTTACAAGTGTTTTATAAGTTCGGCGATTTTTGTTTGTTAGGAAAAATGGATAAAAAAATCAAAATCAAAAATATTTATTCAGTTTAGACCACAAGTGGCACTTATGAACGTCAAAATATAGTAAATAATAAAAAAAAGAAAAGGTAGCCCTTATGGGGTACTATACATATGTCTCCTTACCTTTTGGGCCCTACCAGCGCTTCGACACAAACATATGGCAAGTGCTGAGAAGAAACGCCGGAACAAACTCCTTACGATCAAAGAATTTGAATCAAGTTTTGCTTATAAAATGAAATTAAAAGTGTTTGAAATGTTAAAAATGGACTTTGGTGAGTCTGCTGTGAGTGAATCAAGGGTTTACGAGTGGTAAAATCGTATCTAAGAAGACCATGAAGGCATAGAAGATGACGAGCGCTCTGGACGCACCAGCATATCAACAACCGATGAAAATGTGAAAAAACAGAAAGAAGTGGTTATGAAACACCGTCGAATCACAATTTTATTGGGGAAGATGCTGATGATGTTAGCATATCGTTTGACTCCATGCTATGAATATTTTTTGGATTTTTGTCGGTATGAAACACATGGCAACAAAATTGCTGAATTTTGAGCGAAAGTGGCGGCAAATTTTTGCTAAAACAATACTGTAACAATGTTCCAGTCTCCAAATTTACCAGAAATGGCTGTGTATGACTAGTTTCTATTTCCGTGAATAAAAATAACTTTAAAGGGTCATCGTTTTACAGACATAAGTGACATTAAACACGCGTCGCCGATCGATGTAAAGGCTATCTCAAAGATCGACTTTGAGAAGTATTTTGAGAATTGGAAGAAGCGCTAACACACGTGTATAATGTATAATAGGGACTATTTTAAAAGTTTAAATACTAATGTAGATCAATAAATAAATACTTTTCTGAAAAAACGAAAATTCCCGTTATTTTTTTAACAGATTAGTACATAGGGTTGCCAGGTCCAAAATCACAAAAGCCGGACTCTGTGCCTCATTTGGCCGCACATTTTACTTTAAAATTAGTGTCATAACTCACGAAGTACTATCATCATCGGTTGCCCAACATCCTGATGCGTGCGCATGATATTATTCCGTAGCTCGGATTTCTTTCGCATAAAAAGCCTAACAAAAGCCGGACAGGCTGGACAAGACAATATTTGGCCAGACAAGACCGTAAAAAGCCAAACATGTCCGGCTAAAGCCGGACACCTGGCAACCCGATACATACATATACAGGGTGTTACTTTGCATTCTTGCCATATTTACAGAGGTTACTATATTATTGATACTGAACACAAATCCGTAAAAAAATAATGCCCGAAAAATTTTTTTTTAATCTTGAGAATTTTATTTTATCGACAATCTGTTAAACACACCACTAATTATCGTAACGCATGCACATCACTTGTTGGCGATGGCGATGGAGACATTTTTACTTTTTATTGTATTTTTAAATACCCAGATTAAATACCTATCTATTGCAATCTATTGTCTTTAAAATGTCTTTTTGACACTTGTAAAAAACTGAGAAATCCATCAAACACAAATCACGTTATAAATAATACAAAAATGAGTGAAGTGTATTCAAACAACGAATAATTTAATCAAAATGGTGCTTGGAGTGTCTGCAAGACGTCGTAGACGAAATGCTTGATGACATACCCTTAGCATTACACCAAATGCTCTACTACCAGCAGGATGGTGCTCCCCAACAATAAGGACGTCAAGTGCGCGAATAATACGTTTGGTGAACAGTGGATTGGACGAGGGGTCCAGTAGCTTGGCCACNGTCCAAAATCACAAAAGCCGGACTCTGTGCCTCATTTGGCCGCACATTTTACTTTAAAATTAGTGTCATAACTCACGAAGTACTATCATCATCGGTTGCCCAACATCCTGATGCGTGCGCATGATATTATTCCGTAGCTCGGATTTCTTTCGCATAAAAAGCCTAACAAAAGCCGGACAGGCTGGACAAGACAATATTTGGCCAGACAAGACCGTAAAAAGCCAAACATGTCCGGCTAAAGCCGGACACCTGGCAACCCGATACATACATATATAAATGATGTCATATTAATCAAATTTACTAAATCATAATTATTTCATAATAACCGGTAATTATTCATAATTTTTATCACATTTACCGTAACATATAAATCAGGAGGACAAGTCATAATAAATATTGTTCTTTATTTGACGCTTTCTTTGGAATAGTTAAGTGGCATTTAAAAGAAGGCGAATTAGTATATTAGAACTTTAGAAGCCTTTTATATTCCCGTGGCTTAGTTTTAAAATCAAGGTTAGATACCGTGGAAAAATAATAATAATAAACAAATTTATTTCTGTATAAAAACAGCCTAAAATATTATTATATCAGAGGCTTGACTCACAATTTCCCATAAATAAATTAATTTTAACTCATTGGTTTTATTTTGGAAAATGTACTATGTATCATGATTGAAAATTCTTAGCTTTCTCCAGTAATACTGATATTATTATACTGTGACTCGCCACCCGCCAGACAGAGGCGATTTTGTCAAAAATATTGACAAGTCGCGAACTGTCACAGGAATAAAACTGACACGCGTCCGTCCTCCGTAAGCGCCACCGCGCGACTGATTAAGATTGTCCAAGCCGTCATGGCCGATTTTTTCACATTTTTTCAACATAGTAACTAAATAAGACGCAATAACAAAAGTTTGAAAAGTTGTCGACCTAGAAAATACAAAGTCCTATCTATTAGCATATATTTTAAGTGTAAAATGTTAAAAATGAATATATGAGAGTAAAACAAAAAAGCCGTCGACGTACTTCTTTGGGATTTTTTTTTATCGGACAAACTATGCAATATCGTGTTTTGGAAAAGTTGTCGCCCTAGTTAAAGACATTAACTTACTCGTACAATTTTTTGTTTGCTAAAATATCTTTTCATTTAGAAGCTATCTGCAAACAAAATCGGTCAAAAATCGACAATTTGGGAAATCATGGCCTTAATGACCCTCTCCACGTCCAATGGCTCGTTACCCGCAGGCTTCCAAGTCTTGAAAAGGAGCGCCTCAACCAGTGTAACCCTATCAAGGCATACGAGCTGGATTCGCCGATCCTTGTTCGTCCCAGCCGTTCCTTAACTGCGGTTGCTGCACCTCTTCCTGGCACTCACCTGAACGACTCTGTGTTACCTACTGTGGCTGCCCCTCTTCTTTGTATCCTCCTGCACGACTACGTTGCCTAGCCGTATGCCTGGTCTATGGTTTGACGCCACAAAATCAACCTTTTTTCCACCTTTATTCCTAACGTCATAAGACCCATGGAAGATTAAGTATTTCTTGTAGACAGAAATAGTCGGGATTCAGAGCACCATAGAACTGCTTAGAGCCTGTATAGAGCACTACGAAAGCCTTGGGGCACTAAAAAGTCCCCAGATGACTTAGGGTGCCGAGTAGCGCAGTCGTCAGTGAGTTAAGGATTTTTAAAAGACTATCTAACACGGACTCTTCCTAAATATGATGATTAAGCATACACCATCCCTATTTTACAAGTTCTAGAAGATTCCATCCTTTCATGAATAAGTGTCTTCAAATACCCCCATCCATACCAGTAAAAAGGCAAAGTGGTCACTGCCGCTTCAGTATGACTGTGCCAACAGTTTTTAGTACTTTGAGGATTCTAAGGTTGTCTGCTGAATATCCCATCTGTCTCCCAAGTTCTAGAAAATTCCTCCCTTTTCTTTTGAACCTAACCTAACTCATCCTGTCTTCTAGCAGAATCCACTCTTATTTCTAACGTCATAAGATCCTATTTCCACTCCTCCCAGTCCGACCCCGCTAGACGCGCTAGTCTATGGCCACGTGAGGGCGCTGCTCTCGGCAGCCGGGCCCAAGGCGGCTCTGATGATCAAGCCGATCACCAGCTCGCTGCTGCGGCATCTGCTGAGGATGGTCAACTTGACCAATATGAAGTTGTCGGTGCGTTCGTTGTATTTATTTATTGAAATTCGTAATGTATGGATGTTCTGTAAATAGTGGTGTATTGTAGGGTAGGTATTAGTGTGTAGATTTATTGTACAGTCAGAGTCAAATAGTTCGTGGCGCCCAGAGTAGCCAAAAAGTTCGCAAAACGTCTTTGTTACAATCGGAATAAGGATGTGATAACAACTTTTTGGCTACATACTTTGAGTGTCACGAAATATTTGATGATGACTGTAGTAATATTGGTAATTTTAGCAAAATCAATCGCAAAAAGACGCAAGTCGCATTTCTATAATAAAATGTTTAGATTTTACCAAATTAGGGCATCAAGTAGTCTTACGGCCGAATACTGAAACACTACTCAAATCTGTCACTCAGCTGACGGGCTCCTAAATTTAAGTATCCTTCAATTTTAAATGGTATTCTCAAACGCTACTCAACGGATTTGAAGCCGTGATCAGCTAAGCAGCTCTCAAATGTTTACATAATGGCAACATTTACCAAAAAAAGTATGTTTTCATTTACACAAATGATAACTTTACGTCTTTTATCCATTACACGCAGCATCGTTTGGTTATGTATTGTCTTTTATGGAAATATACTCAATCAACTTAACATAGAACAGTTTATTTTTAGTTTCTATTATATATAAATCTCGTTTTATCATATAAAAATATTAATGCTTGCATTTTTATTTAATTAAAAAAATAATTTTAAATATGATACTTTTTATTGTTGAAATCTATTAAGTGGCGATCGTGGACCGAAACGTAACCACAATTGACATTTATCATTGTTGACTGACAGAGCATCAAATTGACAAATCAACAACTCTTGGAAATGCTGCTATGCGATGTCCCCTTAATCCTCAGAAATAGGCATGTTTATGTAAAGCGATTTCATAGCAGCTATTTTGGTTGTTACTTCGTGCACTATACGATGCACAGTTGGCTGTTAGATGTGGAAGATATCACCTAGTACACGTTCATAACTTCCCGTTGCGTAGAACAGTAGGGTTATAATAAGTATTTGGTCCACTGGTTGTATGGCATTTGGTGAGGGGTTTCAAAGAGCTTCCAAATTATGAATCCAGAAACAACACCGTTTCTTTAGAGACGCGGAACCTCGCTCGGAATTGCATGTCATTATAATAATATTTTTCAATAGCGTTCAGCATTATTGCGTTCCTGCGATTAGATCTAGGTATTTCCTCAAGGCTCGAAAGAAATGATAACGATGACACACATTATTTACCACTATTTAGGTCGATTTAGGTATAAGAATAGGATTTAAGGTAGGATAGGATACCGCGCAAGCACTCTCAAATTTAACAGCTGCTTAAGACGATTTGACAGTTGTTTGAGTAATGCTTAGCGTTGAATGGCGTTTCAGTATGCGAAAATTCATTTAAGTGGCGTTTGAGTGCAACTTAATTTGAGAGGTGCTTAAAAATTGAGAACTGCTCAGATATTGTTTTGAGTATGCGAAATGTAAGTTTAGGAGCTGCTTAACTATTTGAGAAGCCGTCAAATATTTAAATGGCGTTTCAGTATTCGGCCGTTAATCCGGCACTGATAGTATTGTCATAATGGATTGAACTGTTCACAAAGCGCTATCGATAGTATTGACACACGGCTCAATTGACACGTAGATAGTTTTGACACGTGGCGTTTCTATCGTTTTATACAGACACTAGTGACACGTGGTAATACTGTCGATACAGACATCCCGAATAGTTTTTGCTAAAACATCGACAACCAAACAATCGATACTCACCCACCACTACCCATCCCCAGTACCAAGAGGAGTACCTGATAACCCAAGCGTTCCAAATAACCCGTCGGCGTATGGAGCCAGAACGTACCCTGTCCGACCGCAGTACGAGGGTCAAACGGTCCAAGATGTCTCTAAGGAACGCCAGCAAGGAGAACATGTTTGGTTAGTTTCGACCTTATTGTAATGGGATAAGGCTCATGCTGGCAATATGTGGGACTGTTAAAACTAGCTTAGGATAGATCCCTTTAGTTTATACTAGCTTTCCGCCCGCGGCTTCGCCCACGTGGAATTTTGTCTGTCACAGAAAAACTATCCGCGCGCGTCCCTGTTTCAAAAACCGGGATAAAAACTATCCTAGGTCCTTTCCCGGGACTCAAACTACCTCTGTGCATAATTTCATCAAAATTGGTTCAGTGGTTTAGGTGTGAAAGCAAGACAGACAGACAGACATAGTTACTTTCGCATTTATAATATTAGTATAGATAGTAGAGATGCACCGAATGTAGATTGAACCGAATACGAATGTTCGGCCGAATATCCGGTTCAAAATGTACCGAACCGAATATTCGGCCGAATCATTCGGTTCAAATTTGATTAAAACTAAAATTACCGACTAATGTTGACTCTTAAAGTTTCTATTTTGTTTTTTTTTTTTTCATTTATGAACGGATGATATAATTTGTTTATTGTTGATTTTAAAGAATTTTATTTGACTTACATTGAATTAAAACTACAAATAGTTATGACAATTTCTAGTTCACCATTCACTAGCATACCTATATACATACCTAGATAGATATTTATTTAAAAAAAACTTGATTTTATAAACGTACCTACTAGCTTTTGCCCGCGGCTTCACCCGCCTAAAATTTAGTTTGTTACAGATCGTCATAAATTATAGCCTATATTATGTTATTCCGGGCTGGGTTATAAACAATAATACTGTAAAGTTTCATCAAAATCCGTTCGGTAGTTTTTGCGTGAAAGAGTAACAAACATCCACACAAACTTTCGCGTTTAAAATATTAGTAGGATTTGAATACTTGTGTTGGTTCCTTAAGATAGTACTAGTTATTTTTATTTAATTTTCAATTTCATAAAAAATAAATTTACCGTCAGTAAAGCAGCTTTTTATTTCACAATAAATAATTGGTACAAGTAGTGTCTGTTTTATTTTCAAAAACTGTAAAATACTTTCGCAATAAACTACACTTATTTAGTAATTTGAACAAAGCTGTTTATTTAAAAAAATGTTTTAATTGTTAACAATACTTTTAATATTCGGTAATTATTCGGCAATTCAACCGAACATTCGGCCGAATACGAACATGGGAAAAATATGCCGAATGTACCGAATACGAATATTCAACCGAACATTCGGTGCATCTCTAATAGATAGTATAAATTACACACAATTTTGCCCGCGTCCATTTAGGTCTGTCACAAGAATTTTAAGGAGCGTGTGTCTCCCTTTTCTAAATCGGAATAAAACTATCCCTTTTTCCCTGAATTTCAACTTTCAGATTTTTGACGTGCTATAAATACTTTTGAAACTCATGTGGGTGAAGCAGCGGGCACATGCTAGTATTTTTGTAATTTCCAAACTCCAACTTTATTCCTAACCCCAATATTTTTCATCCCAGGCTTCAAGCCGTTTGCGTCCAAACAAATAATAATAATGACGTCCAAAGAAGGCCATATCACCTGCGAATATGACGGTCCGAAAAAATACGACCAATATGGCGGTGTTTGCGAGCAAAACCTCGATTTATGCGCCGAAATAATCGACGAATTACTCAACAAAGTCGACGAAGTATCATCTGAGAGAGAATATAAACACGATTTCGAAGTGATAGTCTACCCTCATGAGAAGAGAGATGAGAAATTTATAAATCTAGACGTGAAAGTTAATGATTACCTTGATACGATTGAAGAAAATGATCTGTCGACAGAGACAGGTCCAGAAGATGTGCTACAGATTATAAACGATGATGACAGTGATGGTTTAGTGAATGATAAACTGTTAAGTACTGAAATAGTTGGAGGCGACAGAATCACTTGTATCAGCCCGGATATTACGGATTCTAGGTAATTGCTTAGTTTATGACGACCTTAGAAAGGTAGCAGAAGGGGCTGGATGCAGGCCGCTGCCAACCGGTCAAACTGGAAATCATTGGGGGAGGCCTATGTTCAGCAGTGGACGTCCTGTGGCTGAAATGGTGATCATGGTTAGGAAAGGGACTTATAAGATCACTTTGGTTGCTTGTACTTTTGTGCTAGGAGAGCTACTCTCGGAGATGACATCACCCCACCATGTACCTCGTCAGCGCAACCACGACCACTCTGACAAGAGTGCCCGACTAAGAAGAAGAAGGTTGCTTGTCCAGACTGGGGAGGGAATTGAAATTTTCCTTTAATCTAGCTTTAGAAACAATACTAGTAATCAGTTAAATCAGGCCTGTTCATCTCCGCGAGTTTACATCGAAAACAAAACACGCACGATGGCCCACCTACAGGATACTATTCGACAATGCCTCACATACGAGCGAACATTGACTCACGCACGCGTATTCTTGTGTATGATGGAAGAAAATAAAGAAAATGGTGTACTAAATACTGTGCAGTATTTAACTGCCCAAATAATAATAAAAACACAGAATGTACTTTTTTAACTTGCCTCAAGACACTGAGAGGTAAATAAGTAGTTAATATTATTCATGATAATTCATGCTAAATCATGTATTTCCTCCGCCATTTTCCGCAGTTTGGCACCTCACGTCACATCATTTTACCGAAGTCAGCCCTATAGCTTCGGCGCAGTGCCGATCACTGACGTTTGTCAACAAAATGGTGCTTGACTCTTTAGACAGGCTAAATTACACCATATTGTTAATGACATTAAGCATACATGTTATTAAATACCTTCGCGAAGTAAAACTTCTGTACGTAGTACTTATTATTATTCTGTGGTTAAATTTAAAATTTGTCACCTATCACAGGCTTGAGTTTGAATTCTTTGAATCTGTTTTGAGCTCTTTTTTGCAAAAAAATGCAGGCTTACTTTCAGCAGTTGACTGCCATTATCATCATCAGACTTGGACGAATAAACCACTGGACACGAAACCTACAAGATTTCTAAGGAAACACGATCAACCACTTTTTGCGGGGGGAGAGGTTTGACAATTGTCAAATAATGACATTTAGTGCTGGGAAAAGATCGTAAATTTTTATCGATAGTTATGTAAATGAATGAATGAATGAATGAACCTAACGAGATAAATGAATTATGGATTGATTTAATATTGAAAGTTTCTTTAATTGAAAGACTATAATTAATTATTGTATCGTGTTTATTATAATGCCATTGGTAAATCATAGGTACAAATAATATTACAAATTATTCATATAGGTAGGTAACTAGGTGAAATATTTTTTGGCTGTGTTATCATTATCAAATTCGTAAAGCAATAAACAAGTAATATTCTGTTACGATCGACTGCTAACTAGCTTTTGGTCTCAACAAATGTTATAATCTGTCTCACGTCACGGACAAAAGTTTCATCAATAGCCTATTTCTATACATTTCATGAAACACAATTTGATAACATTATGACAATGTATTGCTTTGTAGCGCTTGCAGTACGGATGCACTATCTGAGAATATTTAATTCTTATCTAATGTTGTTGATATTCTTATGTTTAGGTCATTCGAGAAGACCTCCTAGTACTTATTTCAGTTTTGAAGACGTCGGTATATCCTAACTTCATTGATTCCAGAGCAATTTCGCGTTTCCGCTGTAAGCTGGATATTATCTTTGGTCGAAGATGTGTACACAGGGTACCTATCCTGTTGATGAGGGGTATTTCTTTTAGGGTTTTGTGCAGAATCGCGGAATATCCTGTCTCCTTGTTTTGCTTTCATAGATCGTTTCCTTTAAGTCTTAGAGTGGGTGCTTGTGCTTCCTCCTGAATAATGAGGTCTAAATGTCTGAGATTCAGAAAGAAGTCAAGTGATGCCGATAGAGTGGTTCTCATACAACCCATGGCCGCTATGTTTGCTAGGCACTATGCATGTTGTCGATATGACTTGCCCAGTTCAATTTATTGTCAAGGGAGATGCTCAGATATTTCACCTGTGTTGGTTTTGTTTTGAAAAGTTCAGTGGCCTAATTCACGTATCTTGACAGTCAAGATCTCTCTGATGTTCAGAAGTCGTCCCATTGAAAAACAGTTGATGACAGGATGGACCAAATCAAGTTCCAACCACCCCGGTATTTCACTAAACGTGAGGGGATGACACAGATCTAAAAGGTTCCACCTCGGTATTGCATACCGAAAATAAAACCTGTTAATGAAATAAAAAATAATAATTGTAGTCATTTGGCGTATTTTTGTGATGACATTATTAATATTTAGATGCAATGAAAAGTTTAAATTGTATGTTCCATCTGTGTGGATCTCATCATCTTTTGTTTCATGTGACTAAAATAAAGCCAAAAAATCAATCAACATCAAAAATATTTTATTCAAATTTGACCAGTATTTTGATGTACAACATATTTCAAAAAAGGTGTAATTATTACTTACATTTACTGGTGTGCTTGTTTTGTATGTTCCATCTATGTCTATCTCATAATCTTTTGTTTCATGTGACTAAAATTATCAAAACAAAAAAATCTATCAAAATCTAAAATTAATTTGAATAATTTCAGTTTCAGTTTGTTTGGTATATCGATAAACTTATCGACATTTTTCAAGCCCTTTACGTCATAAAAAATGAGATGTGAATGAATGAATGAAACCTATAATCCAACCAAATTAAATATGCTACATGTTTTAAGCATTTACATGTACAATGAGTACTTTTTAAAATGACGTAATCATATTTTGTTTACATATCAAATTTTATTTATTTTACGAAAAAATAGCTACTATAATAGATTTAAACTGTACTTACGCGTGATAAGAAACATTTCTTGTCTGACAGGAATAATTTTTGCAATAAAGTACGGCGCATTTACCCATTTTTCGTGATATTTTTACTCTTCGAGAGCTGGCGTCATACTGACAAAGTGACAACCTGACAACATTTACCATGGCTAATTTAGCCATGGTAAGTGCTAGCGGGGTAAAGACGAAAACGTCACTCGTTACGCGTCCAGTGGTTTATTCGTCCAAGTCATCAGATTATTAAGTCTCCGATGCAGGAGCACAACCCTCGTAAAATTTACCAGAGGCATATGGAGGATTTGTCCTACACTCCCCACGCTGGCCAGACGGGTTGGGGAGGCCTGATGTTCGCATATTTGTCCCTTAGTCGCCTCTTACGACGTCCACGAGAATAGTGGAAGTAAATGAACCTATTTTACTCTGCCAGAACCATAAAGGCCTATTCAGACCTAAGCGGTATTCGCTACCGTCTGCGGCAGAGAAAACCCAGTCGATATGCGGTAATAATAGTGTTCAGACCTAAGCGGTATTCGCTACCGTCTGCGGCAGAGAAAACGCTCTAGCCGCGATACTTGATACTAAATACCTGAGCGAAACCCGCGCGGTATGTACCTCTACCCACAGCGGCAGCGAATATCGCTCAGGTTTGAATAGGCCTTAAAGACTGCCATAGTCTGGAATTATTTCTTGATTATTTCTCTTCCAGTAATCCAAAGAGTCCGAATGAGACCTTCATGACCACAAGCGGTGATAGAACTGAGTCCATGTCGATAAAGTCTGATTTGTCCAACTCCCCTGGTTCTGCAGGTTTTATTTTTTATTTCTTCGTATAGGTACAGTCCGGTCGCTGAGCACATAGAATTTCGTCTAATGACTCCTTATCGCTCGCTCGTAATTATATTGCTGTCGCGCTCGCAGACTCGTGGCCGCCTGTCGCACAGTCACGACTGTAATATAATTACGCGCGAGCGATAAGGATGGGTAGCTTGGAGTCTAATTCTATGTGCTCGGCGCGGCGGCTGGACTTTAGTACAAGATTATTTTTATGTTTTTGAGTTTTCGAAACCGGGACGTCTTAATTAAGTACCTGGTTCACCAGTCGATATACTTAGTGCCCTAAAAGGCATATTTCATCATCAGGTCATTTAGTCTCCACTGCAGGAACATGCCCTGCCTAATTTACTAGAGGCAAATGGAGGATTTGGATTACACCATTGCCCTTATTCACAAACGATGCATGCTTAAGTGAAGCATCAAATCGAACACACAGGGTTGAACAGAGCTCTGTGATTGTTTCGTGTGTCACCCTGTGCGTCCACGCGCACTGTGAGACCTCATAGTAATGTTTGTGAATACGGGCGTAAGTAACAAAGATTTTACAGTAGCAGTAAATGGATAAATTCCGACTATTTCATTGTATCTTTCCCTTATCAATAGACATTTGAAAATTCATTATTCCAATAAAAACACTGAATTTTCAGATTCGAAGTCGACCTTAAAAATGCCTAGCGCAGAAATGAGCGTTGAGAGTCTATTGGATTATTTACGAAAGAGAAACGCGACATTTAGTAGTCACCCTTCTATGGCAGATATTGACTAAGAGCCGTTTAAAACAAGAACCAAAATACTGTATCATGACGTTTGAAAAAGGACGCCTTTTTGTGATGTAGCGTCTTCAAAATGGCCGTCGATATGTGTGAAATTTTAAGTGTATTGTTACGATTTTGTAATAAATATTATAAATGAAGGAATGTGGTATTATTTGGTAGCTCGAATAACTTCTTTGTAACTTTACGACTTACATAGGCGTCTGAAATAAGTTTATCGCAAATCAAACTAGACAACTGAAGCTCTGAAATTATCATATTTCTTCCGAAGCACCTGTTGATAAAAGTGTGCTATTTCCTAATCAAATTATTGATTTCAAATAATCTCCACCTGGGTCGAATCGAACTTAGAAGCTCTGTATCAAGAAACAAAATAATCAAGAGGGCATAACGGTTTTGTATTTACGCAGAATGGCAATTCTATCTATTAATGTAAGTTTAATTTATTTCCTGTTATATTTTAGTGTATTATAGATAGAAATATTTCGTTTCACAGGGAACATTCTCGTAGCGTTCCCCAATATAACTTATTTCGGGAATGTGAAATCTACACATGACATTTATGTGCCAAGTTCATGCATAATTTTCAGAGTATTTTTCAGTAATATTTGTAACATAAATAGTTCACGAATTTTATTTTATCGCCATCAATATAATTAATTTTAGATTCATTCTTCCACCTCCTAAGCCCCTTTTCACACGTCCCGGTTGCCGGCTAACCGGCGCCGGGTATCCGGTGGTGAAGTGTATGGGCATGGTACGTAGCTTTCACATGTTCCGGCGTAATTAATCCGGCATGCCCATACACTTCACGACCGGGTACCCGGCGCCGGTTAGCCGGCAACCGGAACATGTGAAAAGGGCCTAAGAGTTAGCAGTATTTTTTTAATCAAAAGAAGGAGGCTGCATCTCAGTTCTCACCTGACGGAAAATGAGATTCATTTTTTCCGGTTTCCTCAACCACAGAAGTGTCTTAGGTCTAACCATCAACTGCCAAAATCTTTTACATTATGTATAATTTTTCTCTCCAGCCCGTCAGAGCTAGACGCTCTAGTCTTCGGCCACGTATTCACCATCATCACCACACGGTTACCTTGCCGTAAGCTGGCCGAAACCGTCCGCCGTCACGAGAGCCTGGTAGCTCTGGCCAAGAGGATCGACGAGCAATACTTCAAACGACCATAGCGTGAGGTTTTCAGGGACATTTCTACAGTCTTCAAAAGCCCCTGAAGTATCCCTGAAGTTTTGAAATAACGGACACTGCGTTAGTGATGTGTTTGTAAATAATAAATAAATACCCTACTTTTTAGGGTAGGTTGCTATGTCATTTGGCTTATTCCACTATTCCCCGTTGACAATCCCCGTCTATTATTATTAGGATTTTATATTTATCATTATAAGCTCCAATTGGCGTAACGGGGAATAGTGAACAAAAAGTTCACCAATCCCCGTTGACGGGGATTGTCAATGGGGAATAGTGGAATAAGCCTTTTATTTTTACAGCTATAGGCATTTTGGTATATTTGTAACGTTTTGTGCTTTTTAACCGACTGTAAAAAGGATAATTTTGTAACCGATCTGTATATTTACAACCGTGTAAATAATTCTTATACTTGATCCAAGGCCATCCTTTTTCATTTTGCAGTATAACATGAAAATACTTACTATTAAGCTTTAAATTTTAGCTTTCTTTGTAAGGAATGTTTTTCGGCGAATTACATACTTGTAATTATCACGTTCGAGCTTGTTATTGCATAATTTTGCATTTGTAAATACTTACAATAATATGGCTAAGTTGAGGTTTTATTTTATGGCAACATTCTCTGTGTTGCCCATTGAAGATTGATCATTTTCTCAATCTGTATTATATCTATTCTAGTAGAAATCTTAATGTAAGTACTGTAGATTGCTATTCGAAGTACGGACGACCGCACATCAAGCTAAAGTCTAACGCCCGTTACTATGAGATCTCACAGTGCGCGTGGACGCACAGTGTGACACACGAACCAATCACAGAGCTCTATCAACTCTGTGCGTTTGATTTGCTGCTTCACATAAGCAAACATCGTTTGCGAATACGGGCGTAAACCTATGTTTAGCTAGATTAAGATTTAGCATCTTATCTCTTTATAATACAGGCTATTTTGCAACAAAAATATACTTAAGTAGTCTGATATGTGAAGTCGACTGTACATAAAAATATACTTACCTATTTGTAATTTGTAGTCTTTATGATAAGTATTGTAGTATGTATAGAAATAGTCCTCGTAAAGGTAGCACGAAGGCGCTGGATGCAGGTCGCTGCCAACCGGTCATTATGGAAATTATTGGGGGAGGCCTATGTTCAGCTGTGGTCTTCCTATGTCTCAAATTATGATGATAGAAAGCTCCATATCGGAGCCTAAAAACGAAATTGATATAGATCGGTTCATCCACGAAGACGCGCCCCACAAATTTTTGGTCTCGGTCGCGCGGGGTGCGGGGAAAATGATCCAAGCAATCAGAGCGTCATTATTGTAGTTGCGTGTGCACTCATTGATAATTTAGCGTGTACCGATCACACTCAAACATTAGCGGAAGAATGGTGGGGCGCGTCTTCGTGGATGAAACTATCTATAATATAATAACTTAATAACTCAAGTACTATATCAATGCATGATTCAAATCAAGTATTCGAGTTACAGAAAGTAAAAAAAAAAAGATCTATTTTTGTGACTATTGTATTTATAGTTATCGCTGCAATGTGCAATGCATTAAATAATAATAATAAATATCCTATTTCTTTTGGTATTAACGTAGACTTTAAGATTACTAATTATTATTTGTAAGTTTTAATCAAATATAGTGTTGGTATAATAAATTAAATATAAGCTTGTAGAAGTAAGTGATGAGGTCATCAAAATTGAGAAAATACTTAGGGTAGTTTAATATTAAGTTTGTGATCATGCAATATACTAAAATAGCATGTGGCAATAAGCAGGGCCTATCTGAAAAATAGATAGTAGTTTTATAAAATAAGTCGATTGCAGTTTGTATTAATCAATACTCAAGTAATTCGGAATAAAACTAAATCAATTTCACAAGTTATTTGCATTTGGCATGTGCGGTGTAAAATCAGTAATGCTTTTTATTGGCTTATTCCACTATACCCCGTTGACAATCCCCGTCAACGCCAATTGGAGCTTATAACCTCTCCTATGCTTTGTCTCAGATCTGTGCAACCTCTGTCAACTGCTATGTCTCAGATCTAAGACAAGACTACTTTGTCATTTTGAAACATCATTTGAAAACCATAGCAGTTGGGGGGTGCAGTTTTGCGCGGCTCAATAGCACGCCAAAGGTTAATGAAATAAAAAGTTCATTAATCCCCGTTTTAATTAGGATTTAATTTTTAACGTAATGGGGATTAATGAACTTTATAGTCCCCGTTGACAATCCGCGTCAACAATTAAAACAAATAGTGGAATAAGCCTTTTTATTTAGTACGAGTGTATAGGTAGTTGTTTCGTTAACTGGCACAAATAATGTAGTTTACAAACTGAACGAGCTAACTGCGCATCTCGCTGGATGCGACTCTCCCTTGCACTCACTCGCGTTCGCCCCATCCTTACCTCATCGATGTGACATCACGGCCGCCGGGTGCGCAGGTAACGCTATTTGGTTTTGTGGCGCGGCCGTTTAAAAATTAGACAATTTATAGAAGATAAAAGGCATAAAAATATGGTGTGAAATTATGTCCTATGAGGTTACAGACCCTAAAGGAATGACGCACTAATTCACATGTATTGTGGATCACATGACGTTCTCCTTTGAGGAAAAGGTCATGCTGATAAAGTAGTGATGATGTTGATGGAAAGGTAGCAGGAGCGCTGGACGCAGGCCGCTACCAATCGATCAACGTGGAAAGCATTGAGGAAGGCCTATGTTCAGCAGTAGACGTCCTATGGCTGAAATGATGATGATGATGGAGGATTATTTAAACGCAGGACACTTTATACATGGACAATTTTTATAATAGCGTTTCTCTCGCAGAAAATCTATTGGCAAAACAAAACTTATTTGACTGGTAGGGTACCTACTTTAACGGCCAATGGATCACGTAATCCCGAGATACTAATTTGCCAAAAACCAAGTCTAATCACGGTACAATTCGTGTGGAGTATAGAACGATTTTCATGATTTCTACTGAGCACGATTTTTACCTCGTAAATTATAGTATTAAAAGAGGTCAAACTATCTCGAAACTCAGTCGTCCATGAATATAATAAATATATGAAAGGTGTTGACAGAAAAGATCGGATGCTGTTCAAAACAAATCCACGAGGTGGTATAAAAAATAATTATTAGGTAAATAATTATCACATGATATTCAAATCATGATGTTGAATGCATTCATTATATTGTACAGTAAATAGGCCAATTCAAATTGTAATTTTTATGATTTCCGTATACTAAATGTTATTCGTAAATTGTTAGACAGACAGACAGTAACTTCGCGAGAAACAGGTGACTTTATTCATTGGCCATTACATTTATCTAAAAATGCTAAAGGCAAAAAAATGCAAAGGTATTGCTTAGAAAAGTTGAAACTCAGAAAAGCTGCAACATTTTTCTGTCCCCATTGCAGCAAAAATTCGGCTTGCATAATATTGTTTTAATTAAATAATTGTATAAGATGTATACTGTACTGACATATCCCCGTATATTATAACAGTTTTGAAAAATACATTTTATGCTTGTATGCTTGTAGTAAGTACTTTTGGAAAGTAGGTAAACGTTCCAATTAATCTGCAATTTCAATAATACTTTTAACATTATTTTTATTAATTAATATCCTTCCATCCTAATCAAATTTAAATAGATAGGTATAAACTATTTTTGCAAGATTACCTTTATCAATAAATTAAATAGTCATATAAACATCAAGTATAAATTGATGATTATTTACTTATTAGTGTTATTATTATCATTTATATTAATAATGTAATATTATTTGTTAAGCATTTATAATAATTATTTCTAAGTTGTTGATTTAAATGTATGTTAGCTAATAATTAAAGACATTAATTATGAAACATCTTACTACATGTCCCATTAAGAAGGGCAGATAGACTTGTCTCAATTATTATTATTGTTATTTTTTCAGTAATTAACCTAGAAGTACATAAGAATAGTATTTTATTGCATTTTGTTGTGGTGTAATGTTGTTTATCTGAATAAATTGTTAGTTTGAATGATCTATGTTTTTTAATTTTACCGATATTTAACTATGATTGTGAGTAATTATACCTATTTCCCTTGTTGGAAGGTTTACAAGCACTGGGGCGTGCTTCTAATATTGTATCACAGCACGTGTGCGTGCTTCTATAATGTAACATAGCACTGGGGCATGCCTAACAGTGTAACACAGCACTGGGGCGTGCTTCTAATAGTGTAACAGAGCTCTGAGGCGTGCTTCTAGAAGTGTAACAAGTAAATAAATGTGTAACAAGGCACTGGGACGTGCTTCTAATAGTGAAATAAAGTACTGGGGCGTGCTTCTAACAGTGTAACATAGCTCTGGGGATTGCTTCTAATAGTTTAACACAGCACTGGGACGTGCTTCTAATAGTGTAATATAGCACTGGAGTGTGTTTCTAATAGTGTAACAGAGTTGGGGCGTGCTTCTAATGGTGTAACACAACACTGGAGTGTGTTTCTAATAGTGTAACATAGCACTGGAGTGTGTTTCTAATAGTGTAACAGAGTTGGGGCGTGCTTCTAATGGTGTAACACAACACTGGAGTGTGTTTCTAATAGTGTAACATAGCACTGGGGCGTGTTTCTAAAAATGTAACACAGTACTGGAGCGTGCTTCAAATAGTGTAACATAGCACTGGGGCGTGTTTCTAAAAATGTAACACAGTACTGGAGCGTGCTTCAAATAGTGTAACATAGCACTGGAGTGTGTTTCTAATAGTGTAACTGTTGGGGCGTGCTTCTAATGGTTGTAACACAACACTGGAGTGTGTTTCTAATAGTGTAACTGTTGGGGCGTGCTTCTAATGGTGTAACACAACACTGGAGTGTGTTTCTAATAGTGTAACTGTTGGGGCGTGCTTTTAATGGTGTAACACAACACTGGAGTGTGTTTCTAATAGTGTACATAGCACTGGGGCGTGTTTCTAAAAGTGTAACACAGTACTGGAGCGTGCTTCTAATAGTGTAACATAGCACTGGGGCCTAATAATGTAAAACAGCACTGGGCGTGCTTATTATTAACTGGAGCGGGCTGTTGACAGTGTAACATGTAAACTAAAGTAAAACAGGACTCGTGTAGAGAGATAAAATAAAAATGCAGATATATGATTAATTGCTATTTTTATTTGGCTTTCATCACAATACATACGTTTAGGCATTCCGCACGCACATAGTCCCATACTTATCACTTTTAACCACCCAATACGCACTTATCTTAAATTTACTCATCTAAAGGTGGATTCGCACACAGAAATAAAAATTCAAAAAATAAATTACTATTTTTTTCCTCACATAATGCTTTTGCTGTTTTTTGACTGTACCCGATTGGACATTACATAATAAAATAAATACGTCAAAAAAACTAAGCGGTGTTCCCTACGCTCGGCATATTTCAACGTGGGAATCGAAGTCTAAAACATATTAACCAAGATTGTTGATATTTTAATCTTAGCATGGCTGGAATATTCCAGACGCCTGGAGCGGTGGGTTCCAGGTTAGATCCGCCTGGACTGGTGGAGGATCATTTGGCGGACGCTGAAGGTGGAGAGCCCTAGACCGATCGCGGCCAGGGCGAGAGCTGACCTGGTCATCATCTTCTCGCGATTCGCTGGCTGGAAAGAAAGAGAAGAAACTGTTAGTAACAAGTAGATATACACACACACACAGTATTGATTAATATAGATCGTTTCATCCACGACGACGCGCCCCACCAATTTATGGTCGAGGGAAGCACGGGGTGCGAGGAGTTTGATCCGAGCAATCCGAGCGGCATTATTGTAGTGTGCGTGTGCACTCAATTTAGCGTGTACCACTAACTCAAACATTAGCCGAAGAATAGTGGGGCGCGTCTTCGTGGATGAAACGATCTATAAGAGTTGACATCCAGGTTTCCAAGTAATTTGACATCAAGTGACAAAAAGTTTTTCAGCAGTAATGGGCTATCGCTTCAGGAGAGTATTTTAGAATTCTGCAGGTCTAACGCATACTGAGTCAGTGCCTGAGGTTTGGGAGCAACATGGGAGGGGTGACATATGACGTGAAAGAGCATACATCTGTGGGTCTAGACAAAGTGCAAATTATAATCGCAAACCAATCGAAAAGTGGTCGAAAAACCCCTTTTTTGTATGGAGTTTTGACAGATTCGATTTTCGATTCGATCAAAAAGTGCGTTTTGTCTAGGGGGGCTGAAGCTCTGTCACGTCATAAGTCATACCCAGCTTATAGCCTGGGGGGAGGGGCAAGCCTTACCCAGCTTCTGGCCTTGGTGGGAGGGGAGTCATACCCAGCTTCTAGGCTAAGATTAAATAGATTTCCAGGAGGGAGCAGCTGTCCTTTCCTGTAGCAGCTGGCCCGCCCATGGGAACGGCGAATGGTAGGTACATAGGTTTAACTCAGAAAAACTAAATAACAGGTAGGTATTGCGTGTACATCGAAATGATCTTCATAGCAATGTCTAGGCAGAGTGTATCTGCCTCAGCTATACCTTATTGTTAGAAGTAAATAAATTAATACTTAAATACATTTTTATATTTTACTTAGAAGAAGATATGACTCTAACAACACTTATGAACACTTTTTGAATAAATCGCCAAATATACCACACCGCGGAGACCCCAATCGCGTCTCTGCGTTCCATTGAATCGTATGAGCGTATGAATTTTTTGCGTTATTTTGCACAATTTCTATTTTTAAAAATTACCTATCGATAGCTTACTTTATTCTGATGAATAAATGTCATTACAAGTTTTTCTCTAAAACTGATAGTTTGGCTAGAAAAAAATATTTTCTATCCACGCAGTACGCCGGCAGCGTTCGGATCGGATATAGTGACGTCATCGTCCCCGCGCCGGGCGGTCAGTGAACTTTTTTAGTAATTTGGCCATAACTTCGTCAATTTTTGTCGTAGAACAAAAATTTTTGGACTGTGTATTAAGGATTTCTTAGCCCTATAAATCTGCATTCACAGCTAAAAATCGAAATGATCCTCATTCGCATACGAGAGCACAAATCGCATATCAGTTCCTCCATGGTTGAGGATTCCGGGTGAAGCTCGCTTCCACCTTCGGCCTGATCGTCACTTACCATCAGGTGAGATACAGGCCAAGAGCTTCCTCGTTGTGGATAAAAAAAAAAAAAAAAAAAATATCAAACTAAGGATATGCGATTCAAAAATAAAGTCGTTCTAGGGAAAAGAAATACGGACTTAGAATGTTTCATGGATACACTTTTGGTTCAGAAATAAATCTAGAAGAAGTTCGATACTGAAATTAGAAACTCCATTTTTAAGAAGAAAGAAACGTAATGTTATACTTTCGATAAGTTGCATTGTCTTGTCACCTATGGACTATGTGCTCCCAACAAAGCTGATAAGATATAAAAATTTCTCTCTGATAAATTACATAATAAATAACAATATAAGACACTACAGACAGCTGTAAATTTGGTATCTTATGAATCGGAGGTGTCGCTGGCACTTTGCCAAAGAAATTATATAACTGCACCATTGTACCATTAATTGTGACTTTAATTGCTTTACAAATAAGATTAATTACTGAATAATATACCATACAATTGGTTTGATGGCAATTGATAGATCGATAGAGAGAAAAAAAACACCTAAATACATAGTACAAGCAGGCCTGTTCATCTCCGCGAGTTTACATCGAAAACAAAACACGCACGATGGCCCACCTACAGGATACTATTCGACAAGGCCTCACATACGAGCGAACATTGACTCACGCACGCGTATTCTTGTGTATGATGGAAGAAAATAAAAAAAATGGTGTACTAAATATTGTGCAGTATTTAACTGCCGAAATAATAATAAAAACACAGAATCTACTCGTTTAAGTTGCCTCAAGACACTGAGAGGTAAATAAGTAGTTAATATTATTCATGATAATTCATGCTAAATCATATACTTCCTCCGCCATTTTCCGCAGTTTGGCACCTCACGTCACATCATTTTACCGAAGTCAGCCCTATAGCTTCGGCGCAGTGCCGATCACTGACGTTTGTCAACAAAATGGTGCTTGACTCCTGAGACAGGCTAAATTACACCATATTGTAAATGACATTGAGCATACATTTTTTTAAATACCTTCGCGAAGTAAAGCTTCTGTACGTAGTACTTACTATTATTCTGTGGTACAAGTTACAACATAAACGAAAATATAAATCTAGTATCAGATAGTCGGGATATGTTTAGTACGAGTAGGTCAGACACAATGTTAAGAGCATTGGCAGCTGCAGGTAAGATAGCCAGTTCCTCTGTGGTTGAGGGTTCTGGGTGCATCTTGCTTCCATCATCGGCCTAATAATTCCAAGAAATTCCTCATAGTGAGTAAAAAAAGAATAATAAAAAGGAAAAAAATAGAAAAGACCTTGGTGCTGTCAACGAGCTAAAATTTTGCCAAATAATAATACTTAAACGGTAATTTATTTACAAATAAATATTGCAGAACGTGGAAACCAGAATATGCGTAGAATATTCCAAGTCGCTGCCAATTTCGTTTTTAGCATTTTTTTAAACAAAAAATAAATTACTACTTTCACATGACTAACTAAAACCCACAATATAATAGAGTGGACATTGTTGATAATTTTAAACTTTGGACATCTGCCATGTTCAATTCGATGGGTGCCTGGAATAAAGCCGCAATAGCCATAGCAGCAGTTTTCCGATTAAGTGATTTTAGTAAACTGCGGGTCCCTATACACCTTTTGAATTTTTTTCAGAATTTTATCTTTGAAACTGCCTGATTAACAAAAGCACTATGGATATTGAGTCGTTATTCCCATTCATCATTTAAAATTTGTTGACCGGAATAATCGTGCCATATACAATGTTAAAACTTTTATTTAAATCTTCTACAAGCAAACGGCTATTACTGTATCCTTCAGATCAGCGCCCGAGGCTGCAATACACTATTGCTGTTTGATTAATTGCACACTTTTTACCAGAATAAAACCACAATGGACTCTTACGGAACCGACTTTCAATGTATGAAGCGGCAATATGTATTTCTACCTTTTTTAAAGTATATTCTAAGCACTATAACCTTATGCACATTAAATGTTACTCCAGAAAAAATAACGCATCGTTTGATATACAAACCGTTTTGATACGCCTCGTAGTTTAAAATTATTCAAAATTGACACTAAATCTCTTCTCCTGTAAAATTGTGTTTTGTCGATTGTGGCTTTATTCCAGGCACCCATCGAATTGATGTATTTAAAAGAACAATAATAGAACATTATGGCTTTAAGTATTTCACAAAGTAGTCATTTTTTACAGAAACGGAGAAGCTCTTGGCTTGCATATCATGGAGGAAAGTTATGATCAAGAAAGTGGAAGCGAGAATCACCCGGAATCCTCAACCACAGAGGAACTAGCTATCTTACCACCGACTGCCGAAACACAACAATGCTATAAAATTTTTGTTATGGTGGCAGCAGCAAGGTAGCTAGCCAGGTTTAGAACAAGCCCTACCACCAACCAAAGTGGTTAGTTGTAAACCAGTAAAACCATGAAGGCTGGACAAGTCAAATAATTAACTAAGTAATAAATCAAATAACAATTATTGCACAACTGTAGTCATAATAAATAAATAATATTATCAATCACGGAGTCCAATGAATGAACTCCGATCATACAAATATTAGTGAAATGACAAGAAATCTTTTAATGGAAGTAAAGAGAGACTTGCGCCATTTCCACGATAAAATCAATGTTTTATAAACAGGTAGTCAAGTTGGAACGTCTACTGTTGACGAAGAAAGAGGTTCGCATATCGTTTGCTGGTTTTGTAAATACTCTTATTATTCATCATTTTGCTTTGATTATACTGATGTTGTGTTTGTATATAATAATGAAACTAAAATGACCAGTTATACAAAACTGAATAAGATTATGGTGGTCCAAAAAGGCCTCAAATGGAGATTTAATAGAGTAAGACTGATGAACTAATAAAAATAGACTTTATTCAGAATAGACGTGAATAAAATCTTAGATGTAAAAGATTATCTGTTTGAAGATAACAATTTTATTAACGGAGAATTAGAAATTGGAAACATATGTAGATAAAAAATCAGACCAGTAACAAGACAAGATTTATGTTTATCTAACAGAGAATTTTCTAGTACAATTTTTTAAACGCTTACATAAAGACGCAGTGCAAAAACACCTCTACTGGCCGGTTAATTATGAGTGTTTTCATGTATATTATGTGCTACTTGCAAAAGCCGAACGAATCAGTTTTAGTCTTTCGTTATGCAACGACCCGGCTTGGCTTCGAACCGAAATAGACTCGTGACAAAGATGGCGCCAAAGTAGGTATGCTCATACGCACAAAAGACAATCAATTTGTCAATAATTACCGTCGACGCATTTCAGTATTCAAAACAATGAGTTTTGCCTACACAGGACAGTTACATTTTGGTACGGAATACTTTGGAATGGACTACAGGAACTGGACATGATTCTTGCATTTTTTTGCAGTTTGTAAGGCAGTAAGAATAACTTCTCCTAACCCCTACACTAAGTAAAATTCCTGATGGATTCAATTTCGCACTCGTGTCATGGAGGGAAGTAAATCATGTAAAAAGC